TAACACCTATCAATTAAAAGGAAGTAAGAAGAGTAACCCTGACCAGGGCTCCAATCTAAGACTCAACGGTTCTGAGTCTGAAGCTCTAGCGGCTGAGTGATCCCGGTGTGAAGCAACGTGTGGTAAATTCATTGCTCAAGAAAATTCGTGGTAAAGACAAAGACTGCCTGCTGCAGAAGGCGGCACCTCTGAAGCTCGAGATCGAAATCGATCTCTTACGCACTGTACTGCCACGCCAGTTCGAGCTCTAAAGTGGAAGACCCAGCTGACCAGCACTCTGAACAGGACGAGAGGAGCAGAAAGACCACTCGTCTGAGTCTATAACTTATCAACAGGGAGGGAATATCTGTTTCATTCAACAACACTATGAGATATTTAGCAATTCTTCTGAACGACAGACTGAAATAGTCAAACAAAATTCCATCAGTATTTCGAAAGTCACGCAGAGGATCATATAATTTGCCTGCATTAACGAAGTTGCAAATTTATCCGTCGAGAGAGCTCGCATTATCCTCTTACTTCGTAGTACTTTTCATGATCTTTCTCGGCCTACTGAGAAACGACTTCAGAATGCTACGAAAAACGGCGATAATCATTTTAAGCACTTGTAAAGTCGGTGCTGAAGAAATAATTTAAATAGAAACAATGAATGAAATGGTAGAGACAACGCTGCTAGTTAACATCAAATATCCGTTCTCCGCGAAGTTCGCGAAAGCAGTTTCTGAGCATCTAAGAACTCAAAGTCGATTTGCAACTAGCCCCCTCCCCTACACAGAGCCGTATTAACGGCCAGTTTTGCCGTCCTGTCAGGACTCATGCATTTTAAAGAATGGAAAAACCTCATTGTAAATGGGTTTCCTGCAAGCCACTAAAATGTGTCTTTGCATTGCGCCTTGGTTCTTCTCATTAACTACTGTCATCTAATCAGTTATAGCATTGTGACAAGGCCACGCTGCACTGATAGCCACCATCTTTGTCTAAGCTGTTCATCTAAGTGATGGATTGAATGAAGAACATTTACATGCCACTTGGTCATGAGGTAACAACCTTTAAACACCGCATATCGAACAGATGATTAATCCCTACCTTGAATATACAAACGATGAAGAACCGTTTCCGCTGGATAGAGCACAGCATCAGCCAGCAGGTAGGAAGTAAATGCGGCAAATAGATCTGGGAAAAATTCTTCAATTAAGGTTTTTGACTTCTTCATTCGCACCAACTGAAAAGAAATTCGATGACCCAACGCTCACAAGTCAAATACTGTTTTAAGAAGTAGATGTTATATGTACTGCAGGCTTGTTAGGACGTATTTACATTAAATTAAATTAAATTCTATCTAATTAAATAGGCAAAGAACTAATAAAACGAACTTCATCCACATATGGATGTTGGTTCTGCAAACTAAAATAAAAATTAAATATGGCGATATAGGAAATAAGCGATGAAGCACATTAACTGAAAGGGTATGAATTCAATTTTATCACTGGTTTGACTTCTTAACCCTGATCAGGAGCAATCTGACAGTACCAGTGGATCAAACATTTCATGCAGAAAACATGCTTAAAACAAGCACAGAAGATACCGCTTGAAAATTATTGTCAATCTTACGTTCGTTAAGTTTTCCTAACTTCTTTACTGTGCTCATCACAAGTTCTAGGATTTAATTTAACTGCTCTGTAACTTTATTACAGTAACTATCGTCAATATATGGCTATATGACAGTGTGATAGAGTCTCAGCATTTAACATCAAAATCAAAGATTCGTCTACTCTTTTACAAAGCAATTCTGCTCACATCGCAAAATAACCAGAACAACAGGGGCTTAACCTTCTGCTGCTCTTTACATTTAATGAGCAGCTACAAGGATGGTCAAGACGAACTGTCACCCTATGAGACGCTCGCATCAAACAGCATGGTTGTACCTCTCGTCCATTCTAGTATCACCACACCACAACACCATGCTGCTTCTGCTGTTCACAAGCCATTACTTTCTCAGCTGGCTGTACCAAAAAAACGTCATGTTAATTCCTTGTTCAAGAAAATTCATAGTAAAGATAAAGACTGCCCTTCCTTCGGTTATAAA